AACACACCTCTGCCAAAGAGCCTGTACCTCCCATGTACTGAGAACTGAGAACTTCAAACCTCCCTATTGCAAGGCCATAGGAACAAAGTGCCCAGGTCTGCCGGCAAAAATCGGAAAAAAAACTATCCCTGCTGATCCCATACAAACCTCTTATATAGAGAGTATGGTACCGGTAACGGTAGGCAGGGATTCATCCCCCACAAGCGTGAGTGTAACTAAATACCGGTGTCGTATAGTACCGGTACAGTACTCCAGAGTCGAGAACGGTACTCCACAGCACATCCCCTAAGATCGATCTTCCTTCGATTACCGCCCCCACGCTTCCTCGCTCCCTGCCTGCCTGGGATACAGGTGAATACTCGAGTACTCGAGTAAATGCGGAAACCTTTACATCATCGAAAAAAGGAAGGAAGGAAAAAAAAAAAAAAAAAAAAAAAAAAAAGAACTTGAACTCAAGCATCACACGATACGCACGCAATCGGTATCATTTCAGAGGCGTTGGGATTGCCAATACGGTATTTTCATACCGTTCATGTCAGTGTTCATGTCGGCGCCGTAGGGTGGAGTACCGGTACCGGTATGTTAAACTTAGAACTGCACTTCGATACCTTATCCATTGTATGATATTGAAGGACACAAAATAAGCTTTCAACGGCTAAGTATAGTATAACTCACCTGCGAGCAAAGGGGCAAATCGGCAAGCCCTCTTTCACTTTTTCAGCCAACCAGATGCGCACGTAAAGCAAGTGCAATACCGGTACTGACACAGTCTTCGGCGGGGACAGGAGGATAATCCGGCGGATGACCAACAGGGATTAGTGAAGGGTACCGGTATTCCTTTTTCGTTACCCTGCTTTTTACAAATTCACTTTCTTGCCCTGCCAAAATACCGGCTCGTCCACACTCGTCTTGCCCCGGTTGGAGACTGTAAACAACGGGGCTGCCAACCGGAATTCCGCTCCACTCGTATAGGCGAGTGAGTGTTCGTGAGCATGGGCCGCGGCGTTCGAGTACTGTATGGTAAATTATGATAATAGGTGGGGATGGTGTGGACTTGCCCATCCACACGGAGAGGCAATAACGAACTAGACTCTACTTGTAGAGTGTGGACAACCTGGGATCTAGCTTACCCTGAAATATTACACTATTACTCGTACACAAACGGTTATATGGTACGATACTCGAACACACTGCACACACGAACGGACAAACAGAGCGATATGCATGTTAGAGTGATGGGTGGGGAGAGTGTTATGGCAGCCGATCGGTACGCTGATGTTTCTTCCCCAGGAATCAGCAAGCAAGCAAGCAATCACTCGGTGAGAGTGACCCAACTTAGACTACTCGTATGCTTCGAACCCCACCCGCATTGGTTATCATACTACGGTATCATATCATACTTCATTTTTCTCAAGCCCTACCGTAGCTAGAAAACACCAGCCCAGCTCCACTTTGCTGGAGCCTCAACCCCAGCCCCTGCCGCTTCCGTGCCGACTACCGGTAAAAGACCAGAGAGCAGACAGGCAAGACCGGTAGGGCTGGATATTGATTAGCGAGAGGGGGCTGAACCATTGTGCAGCACGGGGCAGTATCCCACAATCGTGGCGTTCCGGCCGAGAAGGGGAAGAAGCAAGAAGGGCACGAGAGTGAAAAAAGTGAAAAAGTGAAAAGTGTGGAGGTTGGAAGGGGGGCTAGCGCTCCTAGAAAAGTGGGTGACAAATGTGCACTTTACTTCTCTCCTCTTCTTTTTCGTGTAGCTCTGTTGCCGTGGCAGCCAATCGGTTATATCGGTATTTTTTTATTTTTTTTCTCTTGCGCGATTTGGGCTGGAGGCTGGGGGCTGGTGGTTATTGCTCGAGATAGCACGATACCGTAGCATGGAGGCGGGGGAAGGGCGCAGGATGTGAACCGACAAATACCTTATCGTTCTGTATTGGAGGGTTTGGTACAATATTATGGCAATGAGTAAGTTTATTTTGGTTGGAGTTGGTTAGATGTTTAGTGAGCCTGGATTGTGGTTACCGACATTGCTTTGTTTTGTTTTTTTCCGATTGTGAACCGGAACTTGAATAATTTATTATCCTTGTCCGCCGATCCTGCCTGCTTCAAAGACAAAGAACGAGGTCAAGTCTGGGGATATGATATTCGATATTTCACTCGTTACCGGCACTGCACTAGCACTGGTACGAGTACAGTACTGTGCACCACCGGTAGCTGTTGGCTCTCGTAATCGTCGTGGGCTGCCGTAAGGCAATGCCTGAGAGACAAAGGTTCGAAATTCAATCCACTGGCATGACAGGGGCATATCTAATGCCAGCATCCTACCTGCCATCTCATATCACCGATACAAACTTGGATCAAAACACACCTGCACTTGAAGATATTTTTCGTCGACACCCTTCCATGATGGTGAGGAAAAAAAGAAAATAGAAGAATACCAGTATATATACCGGCGGCAACATAGCAGGAAGTTTTCAAGAGATCATCTTACTCTAAAACAAGATGCTTTGTTTTGTTTTTGTTTTCACAACAACCATTTGCCAATTTTACTTTTCAGTGCGATGCGGTAGCTTTTGCTTGCTTGCTACAATGTAAGATGTGCGGTGGTACAGTGCAGTATGATGCACCTTTTTTCTCTTGCGCAACAATTGAGCCCAACACTCGGAATGGATTATGATGGAAACCCCTGAAATAATTTTATCACACCTTCCAACCATTTCCTCTGCTGTTTCCTACAACCCCATTCTTACCCGTTTCAATGTCGCCAAGTTAGTGTCCCGGTGTTTGTGAGGTGCAAGCTTGCATCCATGGGTATGCGGTGCGCCCCCCCCCCAGAATCGCAATATCCAGACGGTGACACGATTCCCGCTCTTGGTCGTGATATTGTCATGCAAGGGTGCACCACTGTACGAGTACTAGTACCGGTACTAAAATTTTGAGTTCCCCCCTCCCCTATCTGTAACGACGGGCTGCGGGGGATTACAGCAGGGAGGTTTCCTTCCCGCTGACTTTGTCTCCCAGCCACTCCATGGCGGATCAATCTGGTGAGTGCCGTACCGCACGTGTGGGTTTCCTTTCCATCTTTCCTCTCCTCCCCTACCGTATTCCTGAGAGAGGGAGAGAAAAAAGGAGTAGACTGGGCGAGGACAACAAAAGTTGTCTTGTTGTACGGTACTGTACCCCGTATTATAGCATGTGCAAGTATGCGTCTGCGAATATGATAGTCTATCGTACCCAGGATACTCACTGCTCGAGTACCGTATCGCTTTATCCCCATGTCCGGTCTCGGGGGTAGTCTACAAGTTAGGGGGGAACATTTTCAACCAAAGAGGTGCTGACAAGCAATGGGTTGGTCGGTCGGGGCGGACCGATTGGGGGGAGAGGGTGACCAAAGTTGAAAGTGGAAAGGGGAGAAAAGGAGATGAATGGTCGAGCGCGGGTTGTGGCTAAAAATAGTGCGTCCAGCTCCCCGTTGACTCGGTGAATAGATATAAGCGTGAAACATGAGATCCCGGTTCATTGAACCCAGCCCTTTCCCTCAACCCCGACGTAAATCTTCTAGTACAAACCTTCAGTCACAACGACGGCGTGATAGAGGCTACGCACACCCTATGATAGATGGAATGGATGGGCGGATCTCGATTGCCCACTGCCCCATGATATTTACAAAGCATTACCGTGTTCGGGTATCGGGGATAGTCTATCTGTAGATAGAAAGGGAGGAATCAAACCTGCCGTACTTGGAGTAGGTGGTTCACTAGTCGATAGCTGAGCCACATGTCCTCTCAGTTGAAAGTTGAAACCGTCATTCTATTTGGAAGAGGGTACCGGTACGGTACGTAGACTATTGATGGGAAAGGCCCCAATTCGAGCTGACGGGTGAAGGTTTTTTTGGGAAGAGGCTGTGCATTTCTTCTGCGCACTGATTTGCCCCAGACGGGGATTGGGAGCTTATTGTGCTCCATTTTGGTCCATTTCGTTTCCCGATGGGATAGGACGCTGGGGGCGGATGATTGTGGTGTCAAGGTGAGCAAAGATGTTATTGGGCGAGATGGACATGTGCATCTTGATGGACTGGGAAGACAGAGTGAGGACCATGCTGGGAAGCGCGAGCCTTACTGTAAAAAAAAGCCACTCACTTGCGTTTTTCGCGACAGATGGATTGTTTGCTTCTTTTGGGCCGTGAGTGGCTATTGTTACCGTGCCTCATGGTGGGGTGGGATAATAGTATTCTGCTGGAGTGCTGGTATGATACCGGCACCCTTCTTGTGCTGTGTGATAATATGCGGGAAGGAGAGATAGCAATACTTGTGAGGTACCTTACGGTACTGTACCGACCGTACTGGCCCTTTATCCTCCTGCTTGTTCCCTCTTGTAGCCCTGTACTGTACCGGTGTTCATGCACAGGAAAAGAGACAAGAAAATCTGAAGAAAGGGAAAAAAAAAACATGGCTGGAATAGAAGATTTGTGCAGCCAATGCGTTGCAATTGCAGCCTCACATACGGGTAGTATATGTATCAAAAGCTGGTGGGTGGACAGCAGCATCATCACTTTCATCATGAACCCTTCAATGGGGGAAAACATGCGGCGCAGGAACAACATTGCCGTTGTTCCTTTTCTGTCGCTTGTACTGACTGATACTGCCAACACGCTCACTTCCACGTCCTCCATTCTTTCCCCCAATAGCATTTGTCCAAGGCTGGCGGAAAAAAAAGAAAAAAAAAACGGAAGGCCAAGAACAGGTACTTGAACTGGTGTGAGAGGGAGGATACAGTACCACCGTGAGACACCATAGGAAAATATCGGTAAAAAGAAAATTAGGGACAGGGGAAGGCTTTGTGCAGTGGCCACCACACCTTTCCTTCCTCTCGCTCCTTCCTTACCATTTCCTTACCATGGTGGTTTGTCCTTGACTGTGCTGCATACTAGGTTGTGGGTGTGCTCAACCTCCCATGTGTGGCTCCCTACATATAAACTCCCCGCCGCTCCCCCCCCCCCCTTCAACTTCTCTCCCCCCCTGCTCCACCAAGGCTGTTTTCCATCTCCTCGACTCTCCTAACCTCCTCTATCCAATTAATTTGTTTCTACTATCGTCACTCGCTGTACCATCATCATCCACCATTCGAGCAAACTTTCCATCTTCCAACTTTGATTTCCGAATAATCACTTTCACTACAACTCAGATCCCATCACATCAATATGCAGTTTAAACTTCTCATCGCATCCGTTTTCTTCGCTGCCTCCGCTTCTGCCATTACCGGTAAGCTTGGTGACGCAGCTATCATCACTGACAACCCGGTTGGCGCAAGGTAATTGACTCGCCCCCGCCACGCAATCCATTCCGCCAAATTGCTAACCTTTTCTCTTCCATCTAGCTATGTTGCCACATTCCCCTCCAACGGCACTATTACCGGTTCCGCCAAGTTCTCCACCACCGGTAACGGAACCGGTGTCGAGGTGTCTCTCGACTTGAAGGGCTTCAAGGGAGCCACAGGCCCATACGCCTACCACATCCACGACCAGCCCGTACCCGCGAGTGGAAACTGCAACGGTACTTTGGCTCACTTAGACCCCTACCAGCGTGGACAGGTCGACCCTTGTGACCCCAAGTACCCCGCTACCTGTGAGGTCGGTGATTTGGCAGGGAAGCATGGCAAGATCCCCAGCTCCAACGGTACAATGTTGGAAGTCTACCTCGTCTTTGTCGACAACTACATTTCCACCAAGCAGGGAATCGGTGCATACATCGGTAACCGCTCTATTGTCATCCACAATAGTGCTGGTGGTCGCATCACCTGTGCCAATCTCACTTCTATCCGTGTTAGGAGCCCTGCCGTGCCATCGCCTTCCGGCTCCATCTCTCCGGCTTCGGGGGCTTCGGCTGTCACCGTTTCTGGGTTCCTTGGACTCACGGCCTTTATAATTGGTGCACTTGCCTTGTAGATGTTTTTTCCTTCTTTTTCGAGCATTGGGTGGATTAGACGGCGATCCGGAGGGATGGTAATTACAGGGGGAGGAGGGAGGGGTAATCGGAGCATAGAGAAAATGGAAAAATGGTCATTTGGGCCAAAAATGACTGTTCTCCCACCGCTATCATCGGCGTGCTCTTGATTTTGGCGGATTGCGGCTTTGTTACTTGTGTTGATGACACTTTCTTTCTGGGAGTCACACAGTAATGGGCGCGGGAATTGTACATGCTTTTGTTCATTTTTTACCTTCTTATAATTCACCTTTTTCCCCTTTGTTTTCTCATTCTTGCGGGTTTGCGGGGTTTTTCCTTTTTTGTTTATTCATCTTTCTAAACGGGGGTTTTTTTCTCTTATCGCTTGTTCCTATTTCATGTTACGGGGTTTTCTGTAAAAGGCTGTATCATATCATACCACTCAAAACTATACCAAAGTTTTCATCCGAATAATGAATGATGCGTCGCGTTTGTTTGGCGGCCTGGTTTTTTTTTTATCCTTTGCAGACGTTGGAGATCTTGCCCCCTACTGTAATCTATCATATGAAGTATTATGAACCCGCCCCCATGTTGATTAAGATTACCTTGATAGGCTCCAACCAATCCCGGCACTCCGAAGAGAGAAGATCCGCTCGCTTCCTCACCTCACCCAGCTCACCTCACAAGGATAATAAATTACTGTACGAGTACAAGTACAGTATGTTGAACCTCACCGGTCATCCATCACCTAGCAAGGATACCGCGCAATTGTCACTCACACCTTCATTCAACAGGAGCCAAGTCATTACGGCACAAGTTGCCGGTAAGATTACACTCCTCACCCGGCCCGGAACCAAAATACTGTACGGTAGTCTTACGGTATTGTTACATACACAGTACCTACTGGCACGGTAAACAAACCAGGAACGTACGGCCGAAATTCCGGGTGTCATGTAAACAACCCATCGACCGTTATATGATGGCGCCGTATATATATACCTGTGGGCGCTTGCTTGAACGGACCGTACCTTACTAGGGTATGGACGAAAATGATGGGACGGACAGGGGTTCGCTATGTCAAAGCTTCTTACCCCTCCTGGCATCGCTCCTACCAAATTAAATATTTTTTTTCCCTCTGATAGTATGAGCACCCAGACTCAAAAACCCCTGTTCGTCCCATCACTTACGTCCATACCCGAGTACTAGGAGGAGTATGATAGGAGCTTTCACCCCGTCCACCGACGGTAAACCCTACCGGTGGCCCGGGAATCCGTGCAACCCCCCCCTCACTAACCAACCAATTTATGATACCCCTTATGCACCCACAAAGCACATTATCATACCGCACCATAAAAGTACTAGTACAAGTATCGTAAAAAAATCACTCGCGATCCGCTATGTATCCGTCGGTGGATAAGCCCGCGATGGGGACCATTCCGATGGGTTCGGGATCGTGAGTGATTACGGTGCCGTGCCACACATGAGTTGCTTGCGGAATATCATGCTGGACGGTATTATAATACTATCATAGTACGATACTGTACAAGAGCGACTTCCGCCTACCGGCCAGCGGAGATCCCACCGAGAGGAACTTGTTAGACTGCGGTAAGTTAGAGCTTGCTTTTCGCCTTTCGGTGTTTCGCGATGGGGATGTCTCTTGGTGTATAGCACACTTCCACACCACGCCTGGTACGATATCATATGCACGGTGAATGGGGGGGGGTAGGATTATCTACCGTAGCTTGGATAAGCAGAATGGTGGACAGCGGTTCATTACGTATCACTCGTTGGGGATTCTGTTTGTGCCAAATAAGTTATTCGACGGCAACCCTGTTCTGTTCTGTTCCGTTCGGCGGGGGGGGGGTGGGGGATTGGTCGAGCACCAGTACCGTTGTTGGACTGGTGCTCTATTCGAAAACCTACTCGAGTACGGTACCGAGAGCCGGGGGGGGGGGTTGGCAGTTCGTACTGAAAAACAAAAAATGTGTGCGGAATGGTATGTGTACTTCACAGGATGAGAACCTGCTAGTCACCAACTATCACTGATGAAACTTTCGAACCGTAAGAAAATGCCTTGCAATTGCGATCACCTTCAATCTCCAAGCTAGCTAATCAACCTCTTCGCACAAGACAAACCTCAAAAAAAGAAAAACCCCAGAGAAAAAAATCCAACCTGTCCTGGTTGTCCAACTATCTAGCTACAAGACACAAATTCAAAACCGTTTCCCCACTTTCCATGTTCCTCCGTTCCTCCGTTGAAATGCAGTGGTGGTGGTGGTGGTGGTGGTGGTAGTGGTGAAGAAAAAAAATAAAATAGGAGAAGAAAACCGTGGCTATATAGACTAAACTTCCACCCCCCTGTCCGCCAAGCCTAGAAAACCCTCTCCCACTGAGAACACGACCTATTCAGCTCCCAGTAAATACAAACAATATATGATTCCCCATTCTGAGTAAAGAGCTAACTAAAATAATTGTGAAGCTAAGCTAAAGATTTGCGAAACTAGCTAAAAATAATATAAGAAAGCAAAATCAAATTTCATCCGTAACAGTACACAAGTATCATAAAAGCTTTTGTCGCTGGATAAGTTGCGGTATGGTTGTGATACAGACGCTTCCGTAAAGTTCTCGTAATACCCCCCCCCCCTCTTCTCTCCCATCATTCGGGCGAAACGGATTGTGACGAAAAGGTTTACAATATCCCTAGAGGCATATCTAGAAACAGTTCATCTAGAAGGCTCTTCTTGTTCTCTTGCTACGTACAGTAATTGGTAGTCTACAGTTCTTGGGGTACAAGGGAGGGTGTGAGAAATTTATGAATGCGGGAGTACGAGTACTGTACGGTACCATATGTTACACCGGCATACGTGTATGACAGACTGCCTGTGAGTATTAGGCTATGTTGGCATTCGATTGACACCGTGCAGGCCGACCGTTGAGTGTAACTACTGTACTTGGCAAATCGAAGTCTCTGCGGCATGAGTGCGGTACCATAAGGGCGTTTTGCACGAGCGATGCAAATGCAGACGCTTGCTCTGTGTGAACGATATGTTGGACCGGATTGTGATGGCCTTCCCTAGTCTACGTCTATTGGAGAGTTATCATGCAGTAAAAAGTACGGTACTCGAGTACAGTACCGGTCTCCGCATTGCTGGGCCGTTGGTGGTTGGTTGGTTGAGGCTGGCCTGATATAACTTAACCTGGGGGGGTGGGGGCTACAATATTGCACCCAGATACCATGGGAGGATGGGCAAAAAAGAGGAAAAAAAAAAGAGGATTCACTACTGCACACACACATACATAATCACGACGGCAGAAATGGAACGACATCGACAAGATTCGAACTTGCGCACCCGAAAGTAAGAGATTTCTAATCTCTCGCCTTAACCGCTCGGCCACGATGTCATAATGGTTTCATAGTCACTTCTTCATTCTTGAACCGATTTGGCAAATTTACGACGGCGGCGGGAACAAAAGTGCATGATCGAATGGGTTGGTTTCATGAGGGCTTCGCAATTCATCACTTGGCAAAGGTTTGGCGGCCTCCGCTTCCCCCTATACCGACTTCACCATTTCCCCGCCCCCTCAAGAAGTGCTCCCCCTCCGGCGCAAATGTAGATCGTGTGTATTGTGTAGTCTGATATCGAGCTGGGTCGTTCATGCTGGCAGAGGGGCCATTACCCCCGCCCTACTGTCACACCCCGCATCCTCGTGATTCGAGATTCTCAGATTCCCACCCCCGATATTTTCTCTACTTCGACCCCTTTGGGCTGGATGGGTTCTCTTGACCCGCTCCATTCCTGTTCCGGAAAGCCGGCCTTTTCACGAGATAGTCGTTTCGGACCTTTTGGCAGCTTGTTGTCCGGGTCTGCGATGTTGGTCCGTAGTTGGCATTTTGCTCGCAAAGCGCCTCTCCCGTTGATATTTTGGGCCTAGTGCCGGATGTCAGATTGGATCTAGTATATGGAGAGAGGGTAGGTGGGTACCCCGTAGCTTCCTCCTGCTTTCATGAGCCTTTGGTATCGTCTCTAAAGGCCATTTCATTCAGAAGGTTGAAAGTTAGGCAGTGGTAGACAGAGTGGCGCCGCTCCCTAGGACCTTGTCTACGTTTAAAAGGGTCGCTTTTTAACGTTCTTATTGAGCAAAGTGATTAGCCATTATCCCATAGAGACTCTAGTGGATTTCTCACCTGTCCGAACTTTTGGCTCTTGCCTTGGAGCTTCAATCCGGGGCAGCAAGGCGACTTGAGTTGCGATTAGACGGATGTGTGGCATTCTAGAGGCGGAAAGTCGAATTATTATATACCATCAACTCATTCTTAAATTACCTCAATAGCCATTTGAAACGACCCCGCTGCGTAGGGATCTTATCGAGAGAGGAAGGAAGCGGGGTAACGATAAGACAGCGGGTGGCCTGTTGTGTGACCGGGGAATCCGCAACATCCTGGGGTTTTTTTCTGCACTTGAATAATATTACCGGTAATTAAAAACCCTCACATCCTGCGATGTGCAAATCTGCAAGTGGACCCAGGTCATTATCCGGCGGTCATATAGTATCCCGATCCTTCCCCCTTGGCTCTAGGGATTCACACACTCTGACGTCTTTGATTTTGGTGGAGCGGGGGGGTATGTCTTCACCTGAACTAGTCCTTATCAACGCCATCATAAAAACGAGCTCAAAGCTATAAGAAGTGAGGGATTTTGCAACAAAGGTAGAATTAAATAGGTTGAGTGGCTGCATTCTGGGCGCTCGTACACCCCGCAGTCCGCTGGCAGTATCACCCTGTTTCTGTAGTAGTAGCATAGCTCCTATGAAGTCTCTCTAGGGTTGTGGGACCGTGAATCAGGAGATTGGGATCGGGATTGGGATCGGGAGCGGGCGGCTAGTAGCGTGTCGTGCTTTAGATTTTGGTAGCGGGAAAACGTGTGGATATGCTGGTTACGGTATCATATTAGGAAGGTTGACCTGTGGATCCTAGTTCATCTCTCTTCTATTGGACGTCCTTTTGGGGTTTCGGTGGGCCATGGTGTCATGTGTGTTAGGTGTGAATTGTAATATGGAGTGGGCGTGGGGGATGGATTTTCTTATCTGTCTTGTGGCTTCTTGATATGGTGTCAGAAGTTCGATGTCATCGTGCTTGTTATGGTTTGTCGAGAGTCGATGTACGGTTTTTGGCTTGATCCTGCGTATCAGGTGATAGGGGAGTAAGGTGGGCTTGTCGTGAAGGGGAATAAAGCTCTCCAACGAAAGATAGCGGGTAAAAGCTGTAATAGCAAGGGGGTGGAACGTCACGGTACCGTGGCCTAATTCTGCCTACTTGATATTATGAAGGATTGGGAGGTGTTTGATCAGGTCGATTTGACAATCGCACGATCAATATATCCCCCATTGAAGTCCTAACCATAACCATCACTCTGTAGCAGGGCCTCCCGAGGTACTCGGATACCAGGGCTAGACGTGAGCATTCCTAATGAATGGCCGTTTCTAATAATATTATGCAGCTGGGGTGTATCGATTGCAAAGGGAGGAAATTCCGTCAATGCTTTGCGATTTTTCATTTTTCCGGAAGGGGTACATATGGAAGTTTGACCAATATCATGGCGTCCACTGGTTAACTCACCTATCCAAGTATATCAACGCACACAAACGAAGGGGTTCTCCCAATCAGGCGAATGATTTGTACATAGGAGATGCGGAGTTAATGCCAGCCGGCGGCCTGTTCAGACATAATCTTCGAAACCGGACTGCTACTCTGTATGATTAATATGCGTTCCTTGGGGTAATTGCACTGAATACTAACTCAGTGATTTACGTATATCTAGTGACTGAAATTGTGCTATCGCCACCAGGTGGGGGGCAGTTGGAATAGACCTGGTCGACCGATCGATGCGGGTGGTTTGTGGGGAGTGAGCACGATTCAATTGGACGCAGAGTAAATAATATTGAGGAATATGACCTATATTTTTTTACCATATGGAAACTCACTGCCGTACTAATGTGTTTTCCTAAAGGCTTTGTGTAGCAGCCAAGATACTGCGCATGATTAACGCAGTGGAATACCAGTTCTCAGCGCACAGGCACAAGTCCGGGGAGGGAAAACGGAGAGTTGTTCACCAAGTGTATCACGCGGTCTCGGGGTTGCCGAAACGCCATATTTGCGGGGATCGCCCAGGGGTTATCGACTTGAGCGCTCTAATATTAACCTGTGCCCTTTTTTTTTGACATTTCTTAGATTTTGTGGTGAAGTGAAGGAGCGCGGGCGATCATCAGGGGTCACTCGTGAAGAGAGAAAAACCAACCAGTTCGGCTTCTCCGGTCGAGATCGGGATTAAAGACAGGATATTTCGTATGATAAGAAACGGTGTAGCTTTTGAATCAAGAGTGTGTTGCTCTAGCGGCGAAGAGGAATATGAGGGGGCAGAATTTTGCCTCAACCTGACCGAGGTGGTTGCTTTTGGACCGCGTTTATATTCTCAAGAACTTGCCCCGAGTGGTATAACGAGCGGGTCAGCTCATATATTTCAGCACAGGACTTCACCGGCAAGGGAGGACCATGAAATCTTCAGGGTTGGTGAGGGAAACTAGTGCATTGTAGTTGACTGTGAAAGTAGAGAGAGTGTTGAGGATTGTTCGGGGGTGTAGACAGGGATCCACGGGAGGATCAGGATTATTTTAACATGTTCCATATACTGGTGTTCCACTGTCTTTGAGTTAGTTTCGTTTGAGGAGCAAGAGAAGTAAGTTTATGACCACGCCTCTCTTACCTCTTCTACTTAATTTCCAAGTCCCAAACGATCCCGCTCGTTCCACCGCGCGCCATCTATTATTTGCTCCAAGAGAAATTAGTCGAGGTTTCGGCCCCTCTAATTTAACCTCTAGAACAAGAGGTTATGTAGAAGGCTGCTCGGTGGTATGTAAACTTTACCACTGTGCTCGAATGGTGGAGAGTTGATGGTGGGCGCGTACCGGTATGCGGGGTTCTAAGTAAAATCACAAACCACTGCCTTATCCACTATTCCTAATGGCATTATATGAGTTTTATCATCGGCGCCTCCTCTAGCAATGGTATTTTTCGAAGTGCTAAGCCGTAAAGAATTCATAATTGGTCACTCACTAAATACTACAAGTAGGAGTCTGAGTCGAAAGTCAAGCGTCGGTCGGTTGTGGCAATGGTATTTTGGATTTGATCCCAAGGGCAAAGAAACAAATTGAGAAACGCCGTTTGGATTCGAGGTCTAGATTCTAGCACCTTGTTTCTCATGTGGATTTTTCCCCGGAGAAACCAACGGGGCTCAGTGACTCAGCCACAGATGGCTCAAGTTTCAGCATTTACTTGGTGCTATTAATACACATACAGTACTGGAATCCGTCCAAGGATGTGCAGTAGTTGATGCAGGATGCCGATTTCTCAGCCGCCACGCGCCACTTCCCAATTTCTAACCACGGGATATCTGTCCCTTTCCATCATGCAACCCTTCCCCAACCCAAGATTACCTTTCCTTTCCTCAACAACACCTTCTACCTATCATACCGCTATATCAAAACCAGCTATCATTACTGAAAATGAAGGATTTCTGCTCTCTATTCACGCTCGCTTCACTCCTGCTGGTCGCTACAGCTAGTAATGTCATCGATTTAACTCCCGATAACTTCGACAAAGAGATTCTGCAGAATGGAAGGCCGGCATTGGTCGAGTTTTTTGCTGTAAGTTTTCTTTGAGTTTGCGAATTCTCGAGATCCGGTGTTAACGTTATTTATTTAATAGCCGTGGTGCGGACGTGAGTCAATTGGGTCGTATCGATATGGGAGAAGGGCTAATTTGGGATGGAATAGACTGCAAGAGTCTTGCCCCCGTCTATGAGGAGCTTGCGGATTCGCTTGCTAGTCAGAAGGACAAAGTTGCGATTGCTAAGGTCGATGCCGATAGTATGTCACTATTACCACAGGGCCGCTTGCTTCCCGGGCTCCGATTTTCCAAACTAAAATACCCACAGATCACAAGGCACTCGGAAAACGGTTTGGTGTCTCCGGCTTCCCAACGTTGAAATGGTTTGACGGGAAGTCTGCCGATCCTATTCCATATGAATCCGGTCGGGACTTGGAAGCACTTCAAGCGTTCCTTAAGGAGAAAGTTGGCGGGTTGAAGCTTAAGGCTAAACGTGAAGCGCCAAGCAATGTTATTGTGCTTAGTGACGCCAACTTCGATAAGATTGTTCATGATGAGAAGAAGGATGTCTTGGTTGAGTTCTATGCGGTTTGGTCACCTGAGTTGTCTCTGATGAGGCCATGCTAACAAGAACCTAGCCATGGTGCGGTCACTGCAAAAACCTTGCTCCGATATACGAGAAGCTTGCTAAGAACTTCGCCTCCGAGACTAACGTTGTGGTTGCTAAACTTGACGCCGACTCTCCTGGTGGGAAGGCCTCTGCTGAGAAGTATGGCATCACCGGGTTCCCTACTCTAAAGTGGTTCCCTAAGGGGTCTTCTGCCAAGGAACCCATACTCTATGAGTCTGCAAGGTCCGAGGAGGCATTGACCCAGTTCATCAACAAGCATGCCGGTACCCACCGTGTTGTTGGTGGAGGTGTTGATGATGCGGCAGGAAGAATTGCTTCCTTGGACACCATTGTCCAGAAACTTATTTCGGGGGAGAAAGATGCCGAGAAGGAGTTGGCAAAGGCTGCCGAGGAGGTCAAGGAGAAATATGCTGCATACTACCTTAAGGCAGCCGATAAGCTCTCTAAGAATGCAGATTATCCCAAGAAGGAGATCAAGAGGTTGGAGGGAATTGCCGCCAAGGGTGGTTTGGCCCCAGAGAAGTAGGCGTATTCCACCAACTCATGCTCGTGCATATAGCTTACAGAAACCAGGTTGGATGACATCCTAAGCCGTAAGAACATCCTCACACAGTTTCTCTCCAAGGAGAATGAAGGGGAGAGGGAAGAAGTCAAAGAAGAGCTGTGAATTAATGATGTCTCGATTTCAGTTTATCTAAGGTTGGCTCTACGCCTTATTTTTCCTGGCCCTAGGCCTTGTGGTGTTTGCACGGGTTATTCATGGTATCATGCAACGAGGTATTTGTAGAAGTAAAAAGGTTATGTAGAGGGGTGTGTGAGCCATGATAAATGCTTAATTCAATTTAATCTCACCCGGGCGGGGGTTTTTTTTTTTTTTTTTTTTTGAGAGAGAGAGAATTGGCGTTCTATGACCCAACCTCATAGCGAAACAACCATGTGATGAGTGACATGAGGTATTTTGCAAGCACTTGGAGCTGTAGTCTACTCGAGTACGGTAATGGGTGGTGGACACATTACCGGTAGCCGACACTCGACTACCAACATCACACCGCCTCCAGCGCTGGTCCACTCAGTGGATAAAACAACCACGTGACGCATGTGATAATGTGTCTACTGCCAGGATTCGAACTTGTACAGTACGAGCACTCGCTCATGGTCAAAAGGGTGGAAAGACCAGTGAGGTGGGATAGTTGGAGGGCAAGTGACATAAGTAAAAAAAATGCATTCTTGGCGGACACCAGGAGACTTTATCGAGAGTGTCCAAGTATCTTAGTGCTGCATGGTATAGACTGTGATAATATTTTGGGCAAATAGGTTAAAATTTATAACAGAGGCCTATCCCGGCACTGCTGGGATTAGACCTCAATTCTAACCCCTATCCCCATTTCAGGCCCAACCTCAATCTTCCATCCAGAAAGTCAAGTCCTCTCTGTTGACTACCGTTTCTACCACCATCTATGTCCTTTAGTCAATCATCCTGGTAGCGAATAGCTCCCGCAACCGCACTCAAGATGTGTTCAATCACTATCGTGCACGGGGGAGGTATTCTGGACCGGGTGAAGTCACTTATAGAGGAAGCTCTTCTTCATGGTTGGGAGTTAACACCGGACCCTTTAACTGGAAGGCTCCAAGGTGGTATTCCTTGGGGGGGTTGGGGCAGTTATCGGGGCGGGGGGATGGCATACTAAATATAAAACTGACCATTTGAATTGGCTCATTCTATTCTACCCATTCCAAGCACATTTGAGGTTGCATGAGAGTTTGATGTTGAGGGGAAGCGAGTGGGCGAGCCCAGTTGCTATGCTGTCCGAGATGAGCTTTGTATCGGAGCCGGAGTTTGCCCCCTGGTGCACGGTGTTTCTGACTTCGATGCCTAGTGGTCGACAACTTTCGTTAGCATGGTGTATATGTTGATAACACTCTGTAGTGGAATTCCATGCCCCCGCTAGAGGAAAAGAAACATGGGAGAAACCCCCCCCCCCCCCCACGATGGAAAGCCTGGGAAGGTATTAGCAACCAGCCTGAGCCAATCCACCTCCCGCCAGAGTGGGTCAAGGAACTGCTCGGGTCGGGTGGTTCGGTAAGATCGAGGGATTGTCCATGATAACAGTGCAGTCGGGGCAAGATCGCGGGATGAGGAGCGAGTAGATAGATGTAATATATGTCATATCAACTTGCTTTGATATCTATCTCCCCGGAGGAGATCCCTGGTCTTCCACAAGATATTTAAGGTTAAGGCTGATATATATGGGACGCCCAATATATCATGAACAAGCTTTCGAGTAGGAAGGACGAGAATTGTTCTCCATCTCGTACTTGCGATCCCCGTAGGAAATTAGGCTCTACAAAAAGGCTCCCACAACGCACAGCATGCTAATCAAGCAGCCGAAACTTCCTCATTCCGCCAGCCCACGCTCAGAAACCTCTCCGTTTCACTAACTGTAGAGAGTATGCGAAGGGGTCCCGCAGGGCCAAGGCTTCGAAACGGATACGAGATATGATATGATATGGTATGCAGCTCAATGATAGAATAAGTACGCCCTAAACCACAAACCGCCCTTCTATCTACTAACCCCGGGGACCCATACAGAGGCAAAGGGAGAGAACACCCGCAGCACATACGCCATAAACCCAAGATTCATTTCCCATCCCACCTAAAAAGCACGAGCCGAAACAGCCAATTCCCAACCCCCACAAAGCCGACTCTCGGTATGATAAAGATCCATGGAGCAAACTCTGCCAGTCAATCAGTCAGCTAGCCACCGGACCCCGTATATTATTAGCATAACAAGAAACAAATAGCGCATCCGGCCCCAACAATGCCACAAGTACCCAAACCCCTTCTCCCCCTCTTCCTCCGGATCCCCGGAAGCTGGGAGGAAACCTCTCTCAGAGATTCCACCCAGACTCATGGAGGGCCCCTGGTTTGTGGTTTCAGTTGTCGGGATGATTCTTCGTTGGTCTGTGAAAAGAGTGGGGGGCTTGGTGGTTAGGAAATCATAGTATGTCACTCGGGTCCCCTGCCCCCCCCCCCTCGCCGTGGAGAGGGGACGGATGGGTTCCTGAGACGGGCTTGGAAAGCTGTATGGTTTAGCGTAGGGAATTTCTAGCGAGGGGGACGTGTGGTGGTGGTGTTTTTGCAGTGTGGTGCCTGTATTTAAAGTAGTAGACTGGTATCATACCGGGAGAACTCCCACAATTGTCCAGCGCGCAACACGCTACTCTCTCTCTCTACCTACACCGTAGTAGCCACTCAGCACATGTACCACCAAGCAAGCCCCCCCCCATCCCCACAAGGTTCCCCTAGCCCGAGCACCTACAATAAATACTGTTGACCCCGTCCCCACGTCAATCCTCCCCGAGATCCCACAAATAGGACCTCTTTCTTTGTTTCTTAAGAATCAGCTTTCCCGATCACTGGACAGTACGTGCGTCCTTGTCTGTCCCCCGGTATCGCGCAATGGATATTATCCTTCTAGTGTAGTCAACTCACGCCGTTCGGGGGATATATGTCCGTGCCGGTCGCAGTTTTTGGAGGGTAATCCCGGGGTGCGGAGCACAGTACAGTACTGTACTCTACATTCTTTATGGAAAAGACAGGGCGGGTGGAAGGAATGCTGCCCATCAAACATAGCTAAACTCCCACAGGCGGAAATCAGAAGTAATCCTTGGTACTGTGCCCGTGGTATGATATTGCTTCTTTCGCTCGATTTTGTATCGACACCTTGGAATCCCTTATTTATTCATTTTTGGTGCTGTGGAACGTAAGTTATGATCACGGGTCGATCGAAAAAGCTGCTATTGAAGAAGCTTCCTTGCTTTCCGAGCAGTATGTACGAGTACAATGCCATCACGATTCCTGACAATAGAGCGTGTTCAACTATTTTTGGTACTGTGCAATGGATGACCAGAGATTTCGAGCGACTATACCTGTACTATACTACGTACCCGGCGTTATTCACCAGGACGGCCCATTTCTCAAAAGAGGAATAGAACCTCGGCCACCTCGGCATTAAGCAATCGCATTATCCAACTCTTTGGAGTCCAACTTGTGTGCACTGCTACGACTTATTTCCATACCAAGGCATTACCCCCCCCTCCCCTCTCCAACACATCCTCCACTCCAGCAATCATATAATCAACGCGGAAACACCCGTGCCCGCTGTCGAGAATTGTTTGGCCGCACTAGAAGCATATCATGACAATCCGGTTTTCCTTCCCTATCAACAGCAGGAAGTAGAGGGTATATAGTATCCCATCTTCTATCAGCACTGCACCCGCGATGTGTTGACCTCTGGTGAATGACACACAACACACGCAAGGACGGAATTTAATTCAGTGGGAAATTGCCAAGTTAATGGGTGTTGATACCGGGGGGGTTGGTGTTGTGTGAGCATAGCACATACAAAAACCAGAGCGAGGCATATCTTACTTACTTCACGGAATAGGAAAGGGATCGGAGAATATGTGTCAGGCACAACTGAGATGAGAGCTAATAGCAGGCAAGAACCCGTCTACCATACAGGACAGGGGGTTTCAGGAGCGGTTGTGTAATATGGGCTTTGGTATGGTAGCCATTAACTTAGGCCAGGACACGAATATCACTCGAAACAGGCTCGACTAGGGAAGGTATTCAATCACAGGTATTGCACAGCATCCGCTGATACGGAATGGACAGCGCAGGAGCAGAGAAACAAAAGCGAGCATAGTAACTACCGCACGCCCTTTCCAGAAGAAAACGTAGACTAGAGTACCACCCGCTCTTACAAAACCCTTCATATAAGCTCCACCCTCAGCGTAAAGAAATTGATACCGGAAAACGACCCAAGGCCAAAACGCACTACCACCCCCTACCCCCTTTCCAAAACCCTCCTCCTCCTCTCCTCGAATCCGCTATCCAACCCACCACTCCCAAAACTCTCGGTAGAATCCACCCTTCCAACACCACCACCACTACCCCCACAACTCCCACTACTCCCCTCACTCCCATACCCCCCCGCTCCGCCCCCACTCATAGTCCCATACCCCCCAGCACCACTCCTAGCACCAGTATCCGCACCAACACCGCGAGGCAAAAAGGCATTATAAACCCAAAAGCTAACCCTCCTTCCCAGTCCCCCCAGGCCCGGCCTTCCCTCCCCCGCCGTGCCACCCCGACCACCAGCCCCCAACAACCCATCCCCCTCCTCGGCATCGGCGGCATCAGTAGTACCACCATGCCTCCTTCTCCAAGTCCAAATCGCGCCCGCGACCAGCAGCATGATCACCAGTGCGCTCACCGCGCCGACGAGCACGCCGCCGAGGGTTATCATGGAGACTTGGCAGCCGAGCGGCGCGGTGCGCATTTCCCAGCGTTCGGAGAGGGAGGGGCAGGAGGAGGAGCGCAGTGGGGTGGTGAAGGTTGCTGGGACGCAAGTTTGTGTCTGTTTTTTTTTTTTGGAGGGAGGGGGGGATGTTAGCTGTGTAAATAGAACAGGAGCAGAGAGGGAGGGAGGTTAGGGGGGGGTGTACGAAAGGACACCAGCCGCAGGTTGGATCAACTGATGACAGACAGTCGTTGCAGGCGTTGCGGTTCCAGCATTTGCGGAAGATTGGGTCTGAGGTGTTTGGTGAGGAGGACATGCAGTGAGGTGAATATATGTAAGGGGCTGGAGATGGGTAAGGTTAGGAAGGAGGTCTGGGCGTGATTACTTTACCATTGTCGGATCTTGGCTTATGGATACGGATAAGGGCACAAAACACCGTTTACGGGATCGTCATCGGAAATAAATCGATGGGCCAAGGCATAGCAGTATCCTATGATAAAAGCTCTCAAATATGATATCGTAACAACTGTCATCTGTATCACATCACTTAAGTTCTAGTTGACACTCAAGGACGCGACCAACCTCACAACACAACTAATGCACCCCTCCCGCCACAGCTAATTTTATATCCATTGCGTTCATTGCTCATTGCCATCTCCACCTCAGGACCACTGCAACCCAAACCGCACCATTTAAAAACACATCAAACTAAAATTTCGCAAAAAAAAAAAAAAAAAAAAAGATACAGAAAAGGAAACTAAAGAAAAAGGAAAAGCCATGCCTCGTTTCCACCCATTAAGTTTTCTTTTTGAATTTTGGTTAATTGAACGCCCTGAAAAGTGCTCTCGGAAAACGATACGAAGTTTGAATTGACTGCCTAAGGAACACTAATCCTGGAATGGTCGAGTTTTAGGAATAGCGGAGGAGATTGCGAAAATTAAGGATAAAAGGGAAATCCGACAATCTACTTGCGCGCCCTCAAGTTGCTACTGAGCCATTCCAATCCCTCGTAGAGACCGTCACCAGAAGTAGCGCAGGTTGATTGGATGTACTAGAATAGCTGTCAGTGGCAAATTTTAGAATATGCCCAGTGGAAAAACATACCCAAGCCCTGTTCCTCAAACTATGCAGACCAAGCTTATCAGTGATCTCTGCAGCATTCATAGCATTCTAGCACCGAGTTAGCAAAAGCTCAACAAATGACTCTTTCACCAATGCTCACCGGCAAATCCTGTTTGTTGGCAAACACCAAGAGCAAAGCATCCCGAAGCTCATCCTCGTTCAACATCCTCTGAAGCTCCTCACGTGCCTCACTGACACGCTCTCTATCATTGGAGTCGACAACGAAAATGATACCTTGAGTATTCTGGAAGTAATGGCGCCAAAGGGGACGAATCTTGTCCTGTCCACCAACATCCCAGACAGTGAAGGAGATGTTCTTGTATTCAACGGTCTCAACATTGAATCCTATAATTGACCGTTAGCGAGACGAGGGATTTAAAAAAAGCCACATGGCACTACCATGTCTCAGACCCCTCCGCGTGCGGAACGTCCCGGCAAAAGCAAAGAGCGGGAAAAAGATGCTTCTTACCGATTGTGGGGATGGTAGTAACGATCTCTCCGAGCTTCAACTTATAAAGGATTGTAGTTTTACCAGCCGCATCCTACGCGAGAGGAGGCAAAAATGTCAGCAATACAGTCAGCCTCAACCATCCCGATACCATGCACATCACTCAGGCAAGGGAAGAAAGATGGGAAACCGGCACCAAGCAACCCGAGATGCTCATAGACGGAAGCAAGCAAGAGGGAGGTGAAGCAAAGAAAATAACGAAAGGTGAACATACCAACCCGACCATCAATATACGCATCTCCCTCTTGCCAAAGAGGCCGGTAAAAAGCTTCGACATTGACATACCCATGATTGCGGTTGTTCGAGCGTGTTCCCGTTAATTCCGTGAGGTGAAAAAGAGCTGTAGAAAAAGGATTTCTCTACGGTTCAGATGAGAAACGTCAGCAGTTGAAGGTGAGATGTCGGACGTTATCGATACGTGGCTGGAAGAGCCAAGGGAAAGAGCGGTGATGAGGCAGAGATGAGGGGGGGTACGGGGTTACTGAGGGGATAGGGATAGCGTGATACGAGCAAGTCAAAAAAGCAAGATTTTTTTCTTGTCACATAGGAAAAAATCACTCGCTAAGCTAGATAAGGGAAACAAAGTACCAATGGCCTTTTCTCCCGCAAAGCAACGAAGAGGGGAGGCGCGGTGAATAAGATATGAGGTGGTGAGGCGGAAGGAGGAACAGGAGAAGGTAGTGAATGGGAAGCTTTGTGTGATGACAACAGAATGGGGGGGGGGGTTTGGTAAGGGAGATTCAACCCGTAGGTAGGTGGGTCAGGGCAATGAGGGCAAATAGAGGATGGAGCAAAAATGGAAAAAGTAGGAAACGAGGGGAAAAGGGCCACTCACAAAAAAAAAGAAAAGGATGATGATGATGATACAAAGTAAGAATATACCAAGCAATGGGCAGAGGGAAAAACAAGAAAGAAAAATTAGACGTTACTCTGTAGGGGTCTCTTGTATTCCTTAGAGGGAGAGGGGAAGAAAGAAAAGAGGTTTGTGTTAAGAAAGGTTGACGATGACCTTGATGGAGAGGTTGGTTGGGAAAAGCGCGAGAGAAGGGAAGGGAAAGGGGCGGACCTGTGCTGCTTCGCTGAGAAAGGGTTTTGGAGAGGCTAATTAAATTGCTTTTTCCGGTTACACACGCTTTATCGGGGAAAGGTGCCAAGATTGGATGACTTGTTAGGGAGCAGATGTGAATACAGCAGTAAAGTTGAGAACACCTTACAGTAATACTTGTACTGTACTGGTGAGAATACAAGTACTCGAGTACCGATAGAAGGGAGAGAGGTTGCGGTTGGAGATTGCGTGCAGCGCAAATTCCCTCCTTTTGAACCCTTCCGTGGGCAGGGGATTTCGTGGAGAGGACACCTCTGTGAAGAAGATGACTCCTTCGCCACAAATTCCCAGAAACAAGTCAATTAATCCACTTTTTATTGCTCGAATCTGACATGACCTCGCATCAGCCACAGCTAGGTAGCAGCAGCTACCGCACCGTGCCCCTCAACCCCTCAGTCATCCCAATTTTCTTAGCAGTCGTGGTGATACTCGGGTATCCTTGGATCCTGTCACCGATTGGGCACTTTTGCTTACGATAAACCAAAACGTGTTAACAACCTCTGCATGACTCCCTGTGTCTGCTAGGGTGCCTCACAATTCGAGTGAGGACCCATGACGCTGAATTCCACCCGAAACCCGGACAGAGGGTGATGCATGACCACCTGCACCGCCTTCTTTGAAATCGACGGTGTCCATCGAAGGGCGTTATTGAAAAGGCCACATTGCCACAACAAGGATGCGCCCGAACATCATGGTATCATATGGTAATCGAAACAACCGAAGGAAGCCTCACAAAAGGTCACTCCTATGATATGAGGAGGATGCTCCAAAGTGCCAAAAATCGGTAGTTTGCCATAAAGAGGCTCTTGGAGTCAAGTTTTTGCCCCCCCGACCAGACGTCCCATATCCCCTAAAAAGCTGACATAAGATATCTTTTCGCCAGGCACCTACACATAAAAACTCTTCAGAGGTACTAATTTACGAGTACAGTACCGGTAGTACGAGTGCAGCGCTTAAGTTTTGTATGTTACACTAGCAGGGGGATGTTTTAGGAGCAGCCTGTGTGTAGTACTAGGCGGTCCGTAAAGTATTCTGATGCCTTGGCGCCTATATTCTTATGATTAGGTGCTGGTTGGTATGTTTTGGCGCCAAGGTGTCCGAATACTTTATGAATCGCCAAGTAACATACAAAACTTATGATCGTAAAAGTGGTGCCCCCGTATCTTACCCTCGTCATTACAGTACTTGTAGGGTGTGCGCAAAGGTCTATCGTACGGTACTCTACAAGTGCTCTCGTAGGCCGAGTTTATTATGGGTTATGCGTGTTACCTACGCACACAATTGGTCAGTCACAGCGCAAATACATTGTACTGGTATGATATCATATATACACACTTGAGCACGGCGACTTTGGAGGAACGCAAAAGTCCGAAGTCTTGGAAATCCTGTGAGCCGCTTTTCCCAGACTTTCCCCTATCCCATGTCAAGGAATAAAGTACTCATACTATACTCTCACCTTGGCTGCTGGTCCCGGTGCGGCTTGTATCTCTGCGCCAAGATTTAATATTGCGTATACTGACACTAGTATAGTAAGTCATGATGCAATAGACCTCGGATTTTGCTGTTGATCCGCCCAAGCTGCATCTCCACTATGTCTTGGTAGGAAGGAAATAAAAATTTACATTCCTCAAGTAGCAAAGCAGGGGGGTGCAACTAAAGCCCTGGCTCTCTGCCTGAGAGGATATGCGATAAAGCGTCAATTATCCACTTTGACAATTCATGTTTTGAATGCTATTGGTGTTATTTTTATTTGCGTAAACACTGTTACTTCTCGTGCTGGTTTGTCTCTGACTGAGGAGATTAGAGGCCTGTATAGTGGATGGTCCTAGTAAATGCAATGTTACATTTTGCCCCCCTTAATACAGGGGGACGGATGATTTGGTAGCCATCCACAAGGCTGCGGGTGGCAGCCGTATGCCGGGTTATGGTGTGGTAGCAGTATCTGGAGGAAGCGACTATTTGCTCAAGAGGATCAAAAAAAGGATCCCAAAACGCCTCAAAGAGGCATCCAAGACACCACTTTAAGACCGCCATCATAAAATATCACTCGAACACCTGGTATGACGTGACTATCCTCGGTCATTATAATACGAGAGTTGCTTACAGTTTGATACGACTAACCCACAGGAACGCCAGATATGCTATAGAAAGGGGGAAATACAGGCAGGAAGAAGAAAAGGAGAAAAGGAAAAGGAAAAAAAACAGGTCTTAGACTGTGTAGTTCAAACCTCCATACCCTTGATCGGATGTAACAGCATACTCCTTAGGCACATTCTGCCCTGTACGCTTTCGAACGTTTCACCCCCCGCGCCATCTACCTCCATACCAACCCACCGTTTCCACAATTTTGGGGCGAACCGTGCGTTATAGTACCAACTTGTTCCCTGAAAATTGTGCTCTCCCTTCCCAAAGACACTTCCTCTCCCACCAGCGCTCCCCTTTACACCACCATTAAACGTCCTTTCAAGGTACCTCAGCGGCCATGCTCTGTCAACGAACAAAGGGTGCGGTGCGAAAACAGCTTTAAGCCCATGCTGCAGCGCAACCGATGGTGGCCACATTTCCGAGAACATGGCATGGCCATATAGGGCATTTTCGGCATGCATTCTCATCAGAAGTTTTCGGGAAAGCCTACCGACGGCTACGATGGCGGTACGGCGTGGTGGACCTTTAGGGGGCGTGTCTTCGACAGGGGGTCCATAGCCGGTGCTATCGCCAGAGAGAAACCAGGTCGCACCCTCCGGGTCGAAAATCGGGTTTAATGATATGAGATCAGCTGGCTCGTCTACTCCCCACATAGACTCCGTGTCTTTCTCTGGGGTCAGAAAGGGGGGCTTCGGGTCCGTTGAAAATATTTTGACACTCTCCACCGGAACAGGTCCCCATATCGGTTTCGGCGATTTAGCCGCTACCGCCGAAGAGAAGTCCTCCCAACTTCCGTGGACAGAAGGAACGTAGTACCGCTCATTACGTTCCCAGAGGTGCTTCCGTGGTTGCTTGGCAGCCCAAGCATCCATCCGAGAGAACAGCTCATAGAAATGCCCAATATATCTCACATCCATCTCCCAATTCCATACAAAGTCGAACTCGGGGTGGCGATATGCAAAGTCCTGAACCGGAAAGAAACTGGATCTGTAAACCCCTTGAAGTCGCGCGCCATGGAAAGTGTTATCCTCCAAGTTGTTATAGATCGCTCCCATCATGCGTTCGCTCCAGAGCTCCGCAATCCCCCAGAATTCCTCAGGGACATTTTCCCGTAGAGTCTTTTCGTAGAGCTTTTTGGAGGCCCAGATTGGAAGCTCGTTGTCCTTGACATGGACGAGGAGATAAACGTTAAATTCGCCGCCAGAATTGATGCTCAACTCCGAGATGAGCGATCGGATAGATGCCATATCGCTGGGCTTGTACTCGTAACCGGTCCACGTTCTCAGCAGAACAGCAGCTCGGGGGCGAGGCTTCTTCCCATCTGATTTCTCGGACCGTTTGTTCGATGAGTGCACGCTCTCAGCTAAAACCCCTTCCGGATCTAGATCCTCTGGGTCCGATGCGCTGAAGCGGTCTTCGTTCTTCTCAACGCACTCCCTTTGTAGCTTCCCCCAGTCGATCCCTCGCCAATCGATCTCTTTCACAGGCATACTCCCCTGCCCCCACCCAGTCTCGCCTCCATCTGTGATGTTCCCATCCCACTCTGCTACACCGAGACCACCATTATCCTTGCTGTATCCATAGCCATAAGATCCGTATCGTCCATATCGATCAAAGCATAAATCATCCTTCAATCCCAATAAGGAATGACTTCCAAACACAGCTGTCGGCATACCTAAGACACTCTCATTAGCCCGCATCTCCACCCGAAAATGACCAAAACCCGTACCTTCGGGAATGCCTTCAAAAGTTCTAACTTCCGGCCTACCCCTCTTTTTCCCCGACAAATCCACCCCGTAAGAACACTCCTTATACGTCCCACGCCAAGTACCCCTATACTCCTTTGACCCAAAATCGGGGTAAGGATTGAAGACTACGCTTTTCCCCTCGCTCGAAACCTCTAGATCCTCAATAACCCCAGTATCCCCCAAAGGGGGATACTCCGGCCTATTATCCTTCACCAACCTCGCCATCCCAGAATAATACCCTTCCAATAGCGCAAACCCCTCCCACCTCGGCTTCTCCGCTACAGCCTTGGCCTGCGTGATCACCCTACTCGTAGGATGGCGGATAGCAACCAGCGAGAATCCTGCGATTATGGCGGTAACTGACGTGAGAATGATCACGAATTTACACATGACCCTTTTCAATCGGGAGGTAACCGTGCCATTTCGTGAGAATCGCCATTTTTCCGAGGGTTCGGCTGGAATCGAGAGTGGGAGGGGGCTGTAGGAGTGTACTTTCATGAACGGATTCCACGACATTGTAATTTTCACAGTTAGGGTATACCTTATTATTATTTTGATGGTGAAGTAGATTCTGTGTTCTCTGGTCCTCTATGGATACATGGGTGGTTGAGGATGAGTGTCGGGGGAAGAAGGGAGACAGACAGCTGGTCGGCGCAACTGTTCGATAAAAATCCACACGTCAGGGGTGTCTCAATTTCGTGATTAACGTAGGGAAGCTCACCCGTAATGTTCATGAAGCGGTAGAAAGGAAACTGAATACTGAGAGGTTATCGGTGTTTGAGATATCGATACAAGCGGGCTGAGACGGGGCACCGGCAGCTACTGAGTTTTTGTTAGTGCTATAAACAAGCTATCGTTGTCACGGCAACTGTCTTCAGAGACAGTCTGAACCCCGAGCCGACAGCAACCTCACGTGCCTGTGGAATCTTGGGTTAACGCAAATTTGGTATTCTGTCACTGCGGTACGTGTGAGCCAAGTGGCTTCATGTTCTTCCGCCCAAAATCTGCCATCACGGTGTTCCATGATAGCCCAAGTTTGTTAGAAGTCGGTAACTTTATGGTGCACTCGGTCTCGACGTTCACGTGTGGGTCATGTCCGAACAAAAGAGCCTTTCAACTTAAGCCGTACTGTGCTACGACACTCGAGTGCTTGAGTACTAGTACTAACAAATTTCAAAAGTATTCGGACACCTTGGCGCCAAGGCCACAGGTACTTAGTGTAATCTAAAATCCGGTATATTCAACAAAATAACTAGCTTAGAATTTGCTGCTGCCCAGCTCCCCATCTATTTACCCATGAAACTTGTTTCCACCCTGCTGTTCAATACATTTAGCCATAACTCTAGGAAGCTTAGATATCTTTTTATTAACCTCCTGAACTGTAATCTGCTCCCGTTCCTGCTGTAATACCTCCTTCAATTCACTTACACTTGTAACTTGCTCATGCTTCTGTCATGAACGTGGCTTGGCATGGAAAAAGGTTTTCACATGACTCATGATTATGAGTTATAGGTATGTTATTGTTTCACGCATATGACTCATTTGGGTCATATGACTTATTATGTTATGATTTGTTATATTTCGCACATAACTCGATTATGAGTTATGAGACATGTACCTGGCGAGTATGCCTTACGAGTGTGCCTTGCAGGTATGCCTTGCGCATATGATTTATGTTTCACACAGGACCTTACTATGAGGTCATGGGTTTTGTAACGTGTTCGCAAGGTGCTAATCACGTTATCGATAATAGATACGGCAGGTGGCCTGCTCTTCCAGAGAGGAGGCGAGAGCTGAGAACTAAAGGAGGCTTCGTGGGTGTACTGGGGAACAAAGAAGTAACCGTTCAACCAAGTATATTGAAATACTGTCTGTCGAAGTCTGCCTCTTCTATCGTAGAAACAGGCGGTCTTTAAATACACAAATCTGTTCATGTCTAGCATGAACGAAACTAATCAAAGGTATCAAGCGATATACTTTGGTAAAACTTCTTAAGTATCAAAGCGATACTTAAAACAAAACATAACCAAGTATCAAATGATACTTAAAACAAACCAAGTATTAAAGCGATACTTAAAACAAAACATAAAACAAAACCAAGTATCAAACGATACTTAAAACAAACCAAGTATCAAAGCGATACTTAAAACAAAACATAAAACAAAACCAATAACCGAGTACCCGTACCGGTTACAGGTTTTGAGTGTGTGACCACTTTGGTCATATAATTAGTTTGTTATGATTTGGTTTTGCACATGTGACCACTTTGGATCATATGACTACGGGTGGGAAGAACACTATATAAGGAGGCCGATGCGGCCGTGGAGGATAGGTTCTTTACACTTTATTCTAAGTACTTTTCCTACTTATTACTTTAACAAATATAAAATCCCTTTACGATCTTTATATTTATTGCAACATCTATATTTACACCAAAGAAAGCTCTTCACAAAGAAGAGTTAGAGAAAGCTTACGATAGGCATTCCCGATAGAAGACAAAGGTCTTGTACTATTGGTAATGTAGGCCGAGGCCTAATACTATCATAAGACTAAGGAAAGAAACAGAAGAAAGAGAGAAGTATTGTTCCCTGTCGCCAAGAACTAACCATCCAAGGAGGGATCGTTACAGCTTCCACCATATTTGTATTTATAACTTCATCAACTACTACAAATGCTCAATAGGGTTAAAATTGTGCAAATTGGGAGGTCAATCCATCTTCGGTATACCTGCTTTAACTCTTTCTAATGTAGTAAAGTTTGAGTAATAAGCAGGGGTGTTGTTTTCCATTAAAAGAAAATCAGGATTTTGACCTATACGCTTCTTACAAGTGGGCCAAAGCAGTGGCTAGTTAAGAGTAGTAACATGCCTTCATGAATCTACCCCACAAGGGTCACTTTCTCTCTTGAGTGCTTTCACCTTATACTTTTTTTCCTCTTTATGACTGAGTAGTTTTAATCTTAACTCCCGTTCTCTGAGCTTCAACCTTTGCCTCCCATAGTGCCTTCAACTCCTGCTCTTTTAATTGCCTTCACCTGGCGCTTAACCTCTAAGAAACATTCAACTGCTTCTCTTCTGCTGTGCAATTTGTATTGTAAGCTCTTATAGCCTCAATAGTAGTGACCTTTTCCTCCTCTATTTCTGGTTTTCACACCCAGAACAGTTCTTTCTAGTTCCAACCAATCATTCTCCAGTGCCTTACCATAGTCTCTCTCTTCTTCTTGACTCTAATACAATTATCATGCCACTGCTCGCCTTTCTCTCACCCTACTGTAGAGAGGCTATAAATACCACCAATTTCAATAGACATCTTGTTGGTAAAAGCATAATTGGCCTATTCAGTTTCCGGAAGCCAATTCATATGAGGCATACAATAATTCTAAGATTATCTATTAGCTATTCATTTAATTATACTAGTAGATAAATGAAATGTACTGACTGTATATTTGATGTCATTTTCTGCGCTTAAAATAAACTTAAAAACTTCCTGATAGGCATGTATGCTATGCTCAGCCAATGTTCTAAAAACTGTTGAATTACTTACATGAGTGAAGTCAGATTCTCGTCGTATATCCCTCAACCGTAAACATCATAAGACCAAGTTACTTTTTACAAATTTGAAAATGTTATCCTCATCAGACTCAGATAAAAGTTGTGTGTGACCCTGGCATAGAGCAGGGTTTAATACATTAGTCTTAATTAATTCAAGGAGAGAAAATTGTTAGTTATATTCTATATGAATAGGGAGTGTGTCACGAAAGTGGCTTAGCGAGGAAAGGATTTTCACATGATGCATAGTTATGAGTCACAGGTATGTTATTGTTTCACACATATGACTCTTTCAGGTCATATGATTGGTTATGTGTGGGATTTGTGACGCTTTCGCACATGGCTTAAATATGAGTCATAGGACATACATAGGGTGAGTGTGCCTTACGAGTGTACCTTGCGAGTATGTCTTGCGGGTAAGCCTTATGCATATGATTTATGTTTCGCACATATGACTCGGTCGAGTCATATGATTGGTTTATTGTGTTATGATTGGTTTATGAGTTTTTCGTACTTGACCTCGCTAGGAGGTCATGGGGTTTGAACATGTGACCAACATGGTCACATGATTAGTTTGTTATAATTTTGTTTCGCACATGTGACCACTATAGGTCACATGACTATGGGCGGAAGAACACTATATAAGGAGGCTGATGCGGCCAAGGAGAATAGGTTCTTTATGCTTTGTTCTAAGTACTTTTCCTACTTATTACTTTAACGAATATAAAACATCTTTACGATCTTTATCTTTATTGCAACGTTATTGTTACTCCAAGGAAGGTTCTTCACGAAGACGAGTTAGAGAAAGCTTACGATAGACGTTCCCAATAGAAGACAAAGGTCTTGCACTATTGGTAATGTAGGCAGAGGCCTAGAGCTATCGTCAGACAAAGGAAGAAAGAGATAGAAACGAGAAGTATCGTTCCCCATCGCCAATAACTAACTATCCAGAGAGGGATCGTTACAGAGTGAGAGTACTAGAGAAAGGGTTGCCTGAGGAAGTTGTATATAGGGAAGTAATATTATTGAGAGTTGTTTTGAGCCAAGCTGTACTGCTGATAGAGGCAGCACAGAGGGGAGTACTGCTAAAAGAGGTAGCATTAAAGGGAGTACTACTAGGAGAGGCAGCACTGAAGGGAGTGCAGCCAGAAAAGGTAGTATCAAAGATAGTACTGTCAGGAGATAGCAGTATTGATGGAAGTTCTGTCAGAAGAGACAGCATTGAAGGCAGTTCTGTCAGTGGAGACTGCACAGATAGAAGTACTATCAGAGGTAGTAGAGCCGAAGAGAGTACTGTCTGAAGAGGCAGCACAGAAGGAAGCTCCATTGGAGGTGGTATAGCTGAAGGTAGTACTGCCTGAAGAGGCAGCACTGAAGGAAGCTCTGCCGGAGGTAGTAAAGCTAAAGTGAGTGCTGTCTGAAGAGGCAGTACAGAAGAAAATACCGCCGAAGGTAGTGGAGTCAAAGGGAGTACTGTCTGAAGGGGCAGCACTAAAGGAAGTACCGCTAGAGGTGGTAGAGTTAAAGAGAATGCTGCCTGGGGAGGCAGCACAGAAGAAAGCTCTGCCGGATGTAGTAGAGCCAAAGAGTATGCTGCCTGAAGAGGCAGCACAAAAGGAAGTACCATCAGAGGTGGTAATTGCAAAGAGAGTACTGCTTCCAGAGGCAGTACAGAAAGAAGTGCCACAGGAGGAGGTGACACTAAAGGAAGTACTGCCAGAAGAGGTAGCACTGAAGACTGAGTTTGAAGCCGAGCTTCTCTCTGCATTAGAAAGTGCATGCTTCCAGATATCACTGGCAGTGAATTTTGAAACCCCAGTAACTGCTTGAATTTGCCAGAAGCTTATAAGAATATGCAGACAATAATAGGCGATAATCACAGCATGCCGCCATGGGGTAATCTCCTTTTCTAATTATTATAAATTAGCCTATCATATATCTCTACTAGTACATAAGTTCTCTTACCTCACTTCTGATTTGCAGTTGGATGGATCGGGCTCATGGTTGGATAAGACTGTTGTGATACAGGTATTCGTCAACTCAGAATGGATTTACCCTATTTACTCAAAAGTCTTGGCACCAGATTCTCTTGGCACCAAGGTGTCCGAATACTTTTGAAATTTGTTAGTACAGTAGCAGCCGCATAATTTAGCCAGTCCCAGCTCAACTGCATAAGAGGTGGTACAACTTACGGAGGCTGGAAGCATTACTCGAGTGATAAGATGTGATTATATACGCTAGATAATCTACCTAATTTAAGGAGGAGAGCGCCCAACATATTGGCGTTTTTCCACTGTCCAGTTGAAAATGTGTAATACCATAATTTCGTATATAAATTCCACATCTATCACTAACCACTACCGTACGTTACATCTGACGAGCTCGTTATCGTCGTAGTTGAAAAAACGGACCGTACGCCGAATAAACAAGCAGTAGAACTATTAATAGGCAAAAAAGACGGGAGAGGGGGACGCCAACAAAGAAAGAAACAGTCGTAAGATCTCCCGTCGAAATTACTGTTGTTGAAACACCGACTCGTTTCCAAAAAAAAAAAAATCAACGCGAACATAGCGAACTAAGATCGAGAACACAAGGAAGAAAAGAAGGGACAGGGAACATAGATCAGGCTTTTTGTTCATAATGTCATCACCGGCCGCTAGGATTTCTGGGGTATAGTCATTCCTGGGACCACCTTTGCTCACGCGGTGTGCTAACCGCCCTTTCTTCGAACGTCTCCTTCCAGGCCCAATATTCAGCCAAGCGGACATTCGCATAAGAAGCATAGTCAAAATCGATTTGGCTGATGGTGGCTTGGATGAGTGCCCAAACGCCCCTGTGATTTCTCAGTTCAGTGTTCATCACATCCACAATTAATTATCGAATGTCCTACCAGTAGAAGCCCGGGATACCTCTAAATAGTTCAACTTCATTCATGAGATCATCAATCTGACCTGCGCTAATGGTTGCTGCTGTTGCACCTGAGCGGTGCAGCTCAAAGCTACTGAGGTATGTACTAATAAACTCGCGGCGGACAGACCGTGTAGGCAAGCGGCTATAATCACACTCAAATCCACCCCATTCTGAAAAGTGGTTTGCGAGTTCGAAGGCACGCTCGCAGGGAGTAGAGTACCTAAAAGTATTGGTTCATTAGGGTGTTGCCTGGTATTGGGTAAGGGATGGAATACTCACTCGTAATCGATAAAGTGGACTTCCCGGACTACATCATGGGAACCTGAGAGCCCACCTTCTTGGGGGGGTATAATAACATTGCCGCTGAGTAGATCGCAGTGACCCATAACTAAGCCAACACCCCCGTCTAGTCCTTTCAAGCCATACCCACCCTCATCAATGCTGGTAAGTAGCTTCTCATACTCCTCTTGCAAGGATTCCTTCCTAGCCTTCTCCTCATCTGTATCGCTAGGAATCGCAGAAATCCATTTCTGAAGAACGGTCCACAACGTGACATCAGGCTCACCGGAAGAGGCGGAGGATGAGGACGCAGGAGACGGTGGAGGCGTAGTACTTGTAGGAAGTACACCATGCCATTCCCCCAAGCGTGTTGCAACGGCTCTCGAGATGGCAGGATCCGCTAGCTCCTGAACAGAGCAAACACGCCCAGGCACGTAACGATAGAGAAGACCGTTGGCGAACCGAGCGAGAAGTTCGGGTGCAAGGTTGAAGCGAGAGAGTAAAAGATGGGAAGCACATTCGCCTAAGTGAACATAAGTCAGTGTCTAAACCCTGGTTGCTGTTTCCGGAGCTGGGAGACCAACGTTCACGGTCAATTAGAATACCTGTATCCCTTCCATAGGCACGCAAGAGAACAGATTCGCCGTCTTCAATTCTTCTAACTTCGGACGAGGAAATTCCTTGGGGCGGGTTATGAATGCATTTGAGAAGCTGGGTAGAAATGGTCAGCACTAGAATTTACCAACGACTCGAGGGATGAGCAACTCAAGCTGCACTGAAACCTGCGGGGAGCTAGGAATGGGGGGTGGTGCACCACGAAATCCCACATTCCTGGTTAGAGAAGGGATAGGTAGTTGTAGGGCCCTAAGACCACTATGATAGTACCCCAAAAGGGAATGAACTGGGGAGGGGGGGGAGAGATCAAAGGTACCCACAGTATTCGTAATTCCGTCAGTAAATCTCACGAACTTCAAACCACGGCCTCCTCTTTCTGGAGCCCACTCTGGGAAAAGAGTATATATTAGCTGTGAGGCGGAGGTTTGAGAATTCGCTACACTGTATGATAGCGGGATGTTCGGCAGCTCGTCTATTTTCGAGGCGGTAATTATAGATGATGGCTTGGTAGACATGCTCAAAGTGATGATAGTAGGCTGATTTGAGAGCACGTTGTGGGGCAATTCGCACGGAAGGACTAACAGAAGAGTGTAAGGGGGGCGGGGGAGGTTCTATGGTAAGGTTTGCAGCACGGTGTGCCCCAGAAATTGATGCGAGGGATTGAAATCCGGATAGTAATGGTGGAGATGGTAGTGGCAGGTCGAGCGACGCTGGAGTAATAGGCCCAGCGAAGATAGGAAAGGAAGGGGGGAGGATGGGGGAGAAGGGGGAGAAGGGGAGAAGGGGAGAAGGGGAGAAGGGGAGAAGGGGAGAAGGGGAGAAGAGAAGGAGAGGGAAGGCATGGAAAGGTAGAGGAATGATGGGGGAAGAACACAGTGTCTCGTGCTTGCCCTCTGGGGTGTCCTGAACGACATGCGCCCCCTCCCGCCAATACTCGAGTATCAGAGTGTGCCGTGGTTTTGTTGACGCTATGGTTAGCGTTGGGTGGTAGATAGATCCTGGAGATTAGAGATCCCTGATGCCAATGTGCTTTTTCGCTCGTCTTTTCCTATCAAACTCGAGTATGTATCTATCGACGTGCAGTAGCGAGGCTCAACAACTTTTTTTTCAGTGGCTTCTTCGGTCCTGCAGATTGACTACCGGGCAACCATTCAGATCTCAGCTTCACAGATGTTTTTTTTCCCTCTTTCGCCATCCGAGTATCATAACCTTGGCACGGTTTGGTGTCACAAGCACAAGCCGAAAGAAAATTCAAAACAAATTTATATCGGGGATCCAGAGACCATGAATCCCATAATTGTACTTGTACTGTGGGAGAACCGGCACACCGTATCACTGTACCCTACAGTATCGCCCATTGCACATTCTTTGTTCCACGGCATCAGAGCCGGTACAGAGACTACGGTGTCGCACGGAGTATGATACTTTAGTCCATTTGGTATAAGTTATCATCTCTCCAAAGGACAGAGTGCGAATTCCACCGTGGACACACCTGCGCCTCATCGTACTGAGAGGTACCGCTGACCGTGGTGTACTTCATCCCGCGAGTCATGAGAAATGTTTGTCCTTCCTTACAAACCTATGAGAGCTATCACATCACACTCCTCGTAGGTCGCATTATCATCTCATGAGTGTTTCTTTGGAACCACACGGCACCATTTGACCCTGGAGGCGAAAAAGGCGCAAGTGCGGTACCTCTGAAGGAAATTCTTTGCAATTGCAGATATGATAGATATGATCCGAGGAGAACTTGTACGAGTACAACTGATCTGTGGACTTGTGAGAGAGCCAAACAGCACCCCTTCCTCGGCATGACATGCCTCACCTCAGCTGCACAAGAACTTGGTAAAGAAAAGAAAAGAAAAGGGAGAAATCGATGACCATCTCTCGGCCCTCCCGGCTTTTGTTTCCCTACTGCCTTATTTCCCCGCACTACTGCACTACCGAGTCCCTATTCTGCTAACACTCACACGACCACCGGCATCCTCCGTGCTTCGCAATCGAATACGCAAATGGCTATCATAAGGATAGGAAACAGTTTGTGATCCAAAAAGGGAAAAAGAAAAACCGAGAATTTGTCCTCATCATGCTACGATACACCGGCAGATAAACAAAATTTCCGTCGGGCTTAAGGTCTGGAGTTGGGATACCGTGGGCCAGGGGGGATCCCTTGAGGGCAATCCCGTCGGCATTTATCGTCCTACTTCATACTAATTGAACCGGGGAAGGGGGCAGTATCTGTTATCGTGGGTTTTCGCCAGCGCTATCGGTTATGGACTTTGTGTGGCTGTCTAGATAGGTTACGTATCGGTAAGTAGGTTTCCTCATGAAGCTTACACTTACAAAGGTCACGAGTATCATACCTGTAATAAACAGTCCTCGAGACTACTCGAGTATGCCGCCGTCACATAAATACAGTACTTCTCGCTGAGTCTCCGGCACTCGATGCGTCCCAGATGCGGCCTCACCGCTATCTCCTTCAATATCATACTGCTACGTACAGGTGCGGCCCGGCAGCCAAGCATGAAACAAACTTGGGCAGCTTCGGTATCCCTCAAGCCGCCCTAAAACGGCACCACAACTTATCCCGATGGAAGAAGAAATCTGACCCCCTTCTACCAATATTCCTGTTGGTAGACGGGACTGTTTGATTATTACATCGCTGGGGTTGGAAAATTTTCACTATTGTGCCTTCTGTCGCGGGAATTCTCTGTCACAAAAGATCACCCGCTGAAGAAATTCCTGCCAAGAATGCCAAAAATGCAAATTTTTGGGCAGCCCTTGTCTGCCTGTACAAGTACTCGTATGGTACTGTCCAAGTACGAGCACAGTGCATTTAAGCAGATACGGTAGTGTGGGAACGGAGCTGAACGAGAGGCCACGAGTACTGGTAGCGTTTCCTAATCAACTTGGTCATCGAGGATTCGGGTGCAATATGTGCGCGCTGATCAACGTTGTGGGAGCAATACTTGGGTATCATAGGGTACTCGCGTAGTGTATTGTCTTGCATGATGGACGGGGCTAGGGCATGGGATCACTGGCGGTTGGGTGATTGCGGTGTGCCGTATCGTGCGTGTAGGGTGCTCCCGCCGCGCCGATCCCGTTCCACTGAGCACGAAGCCTGCCGCTGATTGTGGAGCTGGGGAGAGGATTGAGTTTAAGGATGTCGGTAGATCGGTGGCCTTACGAGGGGGTGCAGCTTCGGAGTTTTTGCTCCGCATGCTAGTAGAGTGCCCACGGTCAGAAGGGTATCACTATAAAAATGTAGAAAAATCCCGCCTCAAGTAGGGGATACGGCTTGGGCATCAAGGAGCCGATATCTGGGCTTACTATTGACTCCTGAATAGCACTGCAGTGTCCAGATATACTGTATACTGCACAGTATTGGTGGCTCAATTGTTGCTCATAAATAAAGCTAGAAAATATTGAGGCAGCAATCAAATTTAACCAACTTATTTCCTTTGGCCACCAAGCGTGATGGCATAAATAGAGGACTCTATAGGGACCTAGTGCTCAAGTGGTTATAGCATCATATCAGCCTGAGTAGGATGAGTTTAGCCAATGGGATTTCCAGTGGGATCTGCCGGAGTGGGATCTAGTGAGGGTTAATCACATGCTGACTTATCACCACAGTGAATGAGATCCCGAGCAGACCTCCAGTGTATATATGATAGGAGGGTATCTTTCTTCTGAACTGAGGTGAGTTGGTTGGCTGAATTACCAGAGGGTGCCCGTCCCTCCCCCTCGAAGGCCCCACAGGGAACTGCTGCGATGTAACACACCCTTCTCCATGATGACATCGCTGTGAGGTTTTGCTGTTTGTATTCCCTCTCCCCTTTCTTGCCCTGACCACCGACTAAGTCTTGGGGTCAAGACCATCAAGAGGCAATTGGTCTAATCACAACCAATCACTCGAATTTTTGAAACTAATGATACTAAGGGTGGGCCAATGGCCAATGCAACGGCCCATTTCCCCCTTGATTGGAGGAGAACTCACCATACTTATCACAGTATTTGTGGCAGATAATTTTTCTTTTTCGGTTGGCCATGCATACGATTGCGCCGGTGCTCGTGCTAAAGTTTGATTCGCGATTAGAATATCACAACCGAATCGGGCCTCACATTACCCAATCTAGCCTACACCACACCCCGCCATAAATACCCGTCCAACAGAGTGGTATTACCCTCCATCATCAAGCCCCTCAGGATGGTTCACATAAAAGAAGTCGAGGATCAATACTCTAGCGAGCAGCGGCCGGGCCTAAACTACGCCTACGATGATTACGACTACCTGCATTCACCCACCCCTTCGAGTGTGGGTTCCGACGGGGAAGACGGGGACGAGGATGATGGCTGCGATGAGTCGCTATACGATCGTATCGTTGCTTTGAAAGAGATGATACCGGTTCATCAACGGGCGCGAATTGCGAATGTTTTTGGGAAGGCCCATATGGTTCTTAGTGGGGGGTTGAAGTTTGGTGGGAGCGTGCTTTGGGTCGTGGGGACTAGTGCTCTTGTGCTTGGGGTGCCGTTTGCTGTCGCTATTGGGGAAGAGCAACAGCTTGATATGGGGAGGGATGGGGCAGCTATGCGGAGTGCGACCGAGGTGAGGCTCTTTCTGATTGTTTTCGAAGTTTAACTGACAGTCGTTAGTCACTTACGCCCGGTGCCGAAGATTCGATTATACCTAAGAAGGAGCGGTAGCTGTTGGGTGGTTGAGGGGTGATGTATCTTGGAGTTTTAGGGTTAGACTGAATATAGCTTTTGGAATGGATGTTTAGGATATTGGCACAACCGTGGTGGGCATGTCTTTTGCTCCCGATTTGCCTTTGATAATTTTATTCTGAGCATGTGGTTCTGTTGGAGGGTATGATATGGTTTTGGGAGATCTAGTGGGGATGTCCACTCGGGCATGATGTCATCTAGTGGCATACCGGTAGTACTCGTATAAAGGATGGGCAATTCTCCCGGGTTAGAAGCCTTCCTATCTAGGAAGGTCAGAGCGTGGTTCAAGACCGCAAACACTGGCGAAAAAAATCTCACGATTCTACCTGGCGCACCGAACTTGGAGCTTCTCAAGTGTACTCGTACTGGGGGGTCCTCCTCGTGGGATAAAGCACAATGGTTGGCGCCCTGCTGCTATCACGCAAGTACATATCATACCGTATATCGCATCATTCTGCTCCGAAGCGGGAGAAGCCCAAGACACTCGATCAGTAAAGCAGGGAATACGGTACAGTACTAGTTGGATCTTGGTTTTGTTAGTTTGAGATTGGGAAGATAAACGAAGGTCCTGTTCTTAGAACAAAACTCCCTTTGATGGGTGTCTACTTGTATTAGTTTTAGATTAGCTTATTTCCCTTGTTTTACGGGAAGTTTGTTGCTTGAGGCTTTAAATTTATCTTCTCTTGTGGTCCTTTCCGGACGCAACTGTTGTATCATAATAATATTATGATAATAATATTATTATCATACTCCCTGGGAGTGCTTAGTCATATGTAAAAATCAATTCCCAACCTCGCCTGCTTCATTTCGTGCCCAGAGCACCAAGACAATTCGCCCACCAGCCATACAGCCACAGCCACACAACCCCCACCAGATAAACGGGCGACAACAACCCTACCCAGCAAAAAAAACCATCACCCCACCAACAATCAACTGTCCCGCAAGCTCTGCGAGCAAACAGGTCAGCAAGTAAGAATCGATAAACGAGACCAGAATGCCAGCACTTGCATCCCTCCTGAAATTCACCGGGGTTTTTTCCCTAGGAATCCTCTCGGTAACCCTTCCCCCCCCCTTCCCCTTCGAGAACTGACCCTCCGATCTCTATAGGGCGTCCACCTAAATTTCTCCACTGCAACCCTTGACGCAATCCTCTCCCTCCCTTCCGCTAGCACTGCGCAACGCGCCTTCTCCATCTCTCTGGGAAAACAAAGACAAGTTGTTCGGCCATTAGAGATCGCCGCAACAGCCTCGCTCTTCACGGCCTTCCTCTTCGGCGGGCGCAGGGGACGACACGGATACCTCATTTTTACGGGATTGATGCCCGTTCTTGGCGTCGCGCTAGAGAAGAGTCGCATGGTGGGCGTGGAGGTTGGCGTCGTTAATGTGCAGACTCGGAAGAAGAGAGGCGGTGAAAGTGTGGATGTTAATGGAGAAGTGGTGAAGGGTGGGATGGAGGCTTGGAGGGTTTGGGGCCTTGTCAGGGGGGGTTTGGTAGCTTTTGGGTTTGCCATGGGGGTTGTGGGGATTTGGGGGGATGGGGCTTAGGTTTATATTATAGTATTCTTATGGGGGTTGGTTGGCTGGTTGGAGGAATCGGTTGGGTGGAGGGTGGGAGTGGGGGTGTATCATATGATTGGGGATTCTCTGCTCAGCTTTTTTCCCTGTTTCTTAAGGAGGGTTTGGAGCGTACATAAGGCTTTTTCTTTGTCTGACAGTTATCCTTTTCGCGCGTTGATAGGGTCGGAGGTGAGGATATTCGGGGGTTTGGTATCGTACACACAATTGCGCTTTCGAAGTTGGGGGTTGGGGTATGGGGTGCTGTGTGATATCTGGTGACGTTCTATATTGGGTGATGCCTGTCTTCACATACTGACGGCGGTTTTTTGAGTCCTGAGTACTGACTTTTGGGGAATCTTCTGAGGAAATAAAATTTTTGTGGTATTCATAATTTAATGTATTCTGTGGATCCAAACACAAACTCCAATCATCCGCGATGCATCAAAGGATAGGAAAACACCAGCCCAAAGTCTATAAAACCCGATGCAATGAGCAAAGCCGCTTTGCCGACGACGCTAGAGTCTACTATGAGCAGTACTCAACCCTATCATTCCTCCTTCCCCAACGCAGCCGTCGCCTTCTCCCTTAACTCTCTGGTGCCCTTAACCCCCTCCCATTTCCCTAGCATACCCTCCAGCACACCAAAAACCCTCTCTGCTTCATCTCTCTTCCCCTCCTTCACCAGCTCCTCAATCCTGCCTGGACATGCCAGGGCCCAGAGGACAGCATCTTTCTTCCTCTTGTTAGAAGTAGGGATCTTCGGTGTGACCGGCGAAGGCGGGATATTCTCCACCAGCGAAGCAGACACCTGCGCGATATGAGATATTGCAGGGCCGAGGGTGGAGGTAGTCGGCGCGAGGGGCTCCATATTAGCTCTCATTTTCCGAATAGTGTCTGTTGCAGTTATCAATTTACTGTAGTTGTCGTAAACGAGTGCTTTTCGCTCGCCGTCGAAGCCGCGGATTTCTATCCCCTCCCAATTCATTAATCAACCTTGCTAGAGGGAAATGAAGAGGGAGACTAACCATTAACAAGCTCATTCTCCCTCCTCAACAACTCCTTCAACTCGGCCTCTGCGATAAACTTCTCGACATAAGCCGCTGCATCAAACCCTTCGCGGTCGATCTCGCAGAGTTTCTCTTCCACCTGTTTCTTTTCAGGGCTTTCTTCTGGTAGCGAGGAGTCCTGCCCAAGCCCGTAGAACTGCCGGAGCGCGGAGCGGTTGCGTCGGGGCTTGGGGCTGTGCGGGTTTAGTGATTGCTGGGGGAGCACGTCTAGGGAGACGCGCCGCGAGGAGGAGCGGGAGTCCGGGGATGGGAGACGTGGGGAGGCGACGTGGGTGGAGTCTACCGAGATGGCGGGGGTGGGAGGGATGGACATTATGTTTTTGTGGTGGGGGGATTGGTTGGTTCGGGGTTATGGAGCCTCGGGAGTTGATAATTAGAGGCTGGAGCTTTCGCCAGTTCGAGCATTGAGGGTTGAGAGGTCACGTGGTGGTCGCGTTGATACATTTGAAGGTTTCAGCTTGAAGCTTTTCCCTTTTCTCTCCTTCAACCCATCACATCGTTATGGCGTCCACCTTTGAGATCCCAACCATCACGCCAGTAGGGCCCTCTCCTATTTTGAATGTTACAAACAAACTAACGTACTTCAGCAAGATCTTAGTAACTTTCACAAAGTCCATCTATCGTCAGATCTCCACGAGCACTTTACGCATACCTTCCTCCAACCTCAACCCCAAGCCCCAGAAAGCCAGCCTGAACATGGACCCGAACACCCTCCCGAAGACTATGTAGAGGAAGAAGACGACCTCGGCTACTACCCCGATGGCACAAAACGCACCCTGACTTCCGCCCAAGTCGCCATGTTTCGTTTTTCGGAAGTCCAATCCCTCTTAAGTGGCCTTCCCTCCCCTCTCCTTGCAACGTTCTTTGCTGACACGGTCTAGAGAGACGCCGCCGTGCGGCTGCTAAGAAGCAAGCCGCCAAAGACCGCCGCTCCCAACGCGACGAGGAAGCTCAGTCCATGGACGGGGACCCACCAATGCCAATATCGACCGGAGCGGAAGAAGAGGGTGAAGTCACGGAACTCGACCGTATGAAGTCCCGTCTTCAAGCAGCAGTGTGGGCATCTTCGCATGGGTGGGATGATCAGGTTACTGAAGAGCGGGCTGTTCCCAGGGTCATTGAGACAGTGGATGTTGGGACCGGAAAGAATTTTTTGTGGCCGGCCATTGAGAGGGGTGATTGGTAGGTTTGCTTTTTCTTTCTCTTACATTCGTGGAGGAGGGAAGGGGGAAAGGAAAGGTCTTTAATGATGAGACATTTGCATCGTCATCCTTAGACGGAGTTTGAGGCTTTGCGCTTGAACGAAGACGAGATATGCAGTCTTATGTGTTTTCTGAAGAAACCTGTGGGGGTTTGAGTTTTTACGTCGGGGTGTGGTGAGGGGTTGGTTGTTTTCGTGATACTGATGGCTGGTTCGCTTCATAGATATGAGAAAAAGCTGAAGGGGGATAGGTATGTAGGAAACAAGCACTATGCACCGGTTTTTTTCATTGTGAGGGATTTGTTTGGTTAAGTATCTCCTGCTCATGAGTGAGCAGTTGTGAAGTGAAGTGAAAAGGTCCCAGCCTGGACTGGTAATAATGCTAGAATAATCTCACCATCTGTAGTATGCCTCCAACCTCGAACGAATTCCCATCCCTTCTGACATATTCACCCCAACTCCTAGCTTCCACAACCCCAGGCGTCTCTAAGAGGTAGTGGTGCTCCCGTACAGTTCTGATTTACTAAGTTGCTCTCCCTCTTCTCTACCCTCGGACCCAGTGGTGCTGTACTCAGCTGGGGCTTCCGGCACGGTGCTAGAGACGCACTGGAGCCTACGGGAGAGTATGGTATACTCTACTAATTCTAGGGCGATAAGGGAAGAATCGCAGGAGGGGATGACTGAGTGCTAGTCAAGCCGATGGGGTTGTGCTGAAAGCTATGTGCATCTAGGGTTGAACGCGAAAGATTTTGGCGAAGCTTGTATTTTCAGGACCCAAAATCTTCCTGGTGGCTGTAACCCCTGGACCCCATAACAGCATCACTGCAACCCGTGAGAGAGAGGCGTTTGGCGAAAGGTTGTCTCTGGGGCACGATGGTTGGCGCACGGATTTTATTTATTTCTGGGCCTTTGTCCTTATGCGCCGTCGTGCTGACAATACCGTCTTTGAGGGGAACTATGGGTATGGTCACTATTCTTTTAGCAAGGTGTTTCTCGACCTCACCCAATAAGTGGTCGTCCGCTCAAGAATGTTCGGGTGCATGGGGCCCTTTGGAGAAGGAGTCCTGTGATTTAGGAGGCTTGGTCGCTTACACGTCTTGAGCGTCAACGCATATGAGGGCGCTGTGCAATGACAGGGTGTCGTATAAGATCTTCACCATTTTGGAAATTACAGCTATCGGCCATTTGGACTTTTTTGCCTTTCGAAGGCCTAAACTATGGGCTCCGGAATTTTGCTTAAGCCGCTAACAACCTGCTTTAGAAGAGCACCTAACATAATCGCAGGGGATTGCTCTTCCGCGTGGCGGGGTCGAAGTAGAAGCCAGCAACCGCAATATTTTGCCCCCCGGCCTCATAACACAAGTTGTCTATCGCTTTCCTACCGGGAAGCCCCAGGAAGTGGTGGAATGGGCTATAGTAGCCATCGGGGTCGTTTTGCCAGGAGGTGGACGCTAAACTGCTAAAGAGAAGTGCTTTCAAGCCACCTCTGTTCAGGCACTATTGCTGAACAAAGTTCGAAAGTCCCCCACGACAAAATCACCCAAATGGGAGTTTTTGGGAAGTTTTTCTGTTATTCAGCAAGAGTGTGGAGTATGGTGCCTTCACCCTATGGCACTAAGCCAAAGGGTGCTCTTTCCACGGGGAGGATGTATCGAAAAAGGCCCCACCCGTTGGGAGCAAGAGATTGCAAAGGGCAGCACGCAAAAATAAGGGGAAGAAATCGTGCATTTCGGACTTGTGATATTTTTATTTAGGGCCTCTTCGGCATGTACCGAACATCATATTTTTGAAAATAGCATATTTCCTGATGCTCAAAGCAAGTACATCAAAAGAAAGAAAGAAAATTCATACTGTAGTCTTATAGTAGGTAAGTTGCTCCTCTAATTATTATATGTAAAGGAAAAGAGGTCTCGATGTTGAGAAGAAAGGAAAATTGTGATGCATAATATTTCACCCAATGCCCCGCCGTATTTTACAATGCCACTATTTTCCCTGCTTCTCAACCTGTGGGCCTTGTGTTGCTTTTTATTCCCACAGAATAAGGGGGCAGCATCTGCTATATCACTATTAGATTAGGTTTTTCTTTGGAGTTGGCTTGCTTTCAGTATTAGGAAATATGTTATTTTCAGGAGTATCATAAAAAAATATGGTGACATGCCGGGCAGGCCCTTATTTATTTAGGAGTCAGTTTCTTGGGGATCTATCGAGTTTCGGTAATGTAGGGGTACCAATTTTTGGTGATCTCTAGCCTTAGTCTCCTTACCAGATGTCCCTACTGCTAGCCATGAAACCTAGAGATTCCGGGGGGTAACCGGCCACCAGGGTAATCTAACTCCACCAATGCCTGCAGAATACACCCCCGGCGAGGGGTAAGTGCTCAGTGTGATATGGACAATGATGGAACCGTTCGTCTTGTTCCCTTCACTAAGCATTACTTCCTTTTCCCTTGAGTCCCTTGATATCGATCCATTTGAGGTCTGCCTTTAGCCTAGTTGCGTCAGGGCATTGACACCTGGTGTATTGGTATCGTATGATACACAAAGGAACACTTGTAATGTGCTGGGCTTGACTTGAGCTGGGCGAGCTATGATAGCAGGATTTGTTAGGTGATGCGGGAGTTGGGTTCTGAGCATTAGGGTAGCTGGTAAATCGCTAGTATGATACTAGTATGATAGCAGAATGGCACAGGTGCGCTTGCTTTGCTGGGCATGGTGCTGGGTTCTTTGACATGCAAATTTAATGTCAAGATTCGTGTCATCCAAAATCTACACCGGACGTTACCATTTTTTAAATGATTATATACCATCACCACACTAAAATATTAATTCAAAATAACCTTTAGATTGTTGGGATACTAAGGAGAATAATGTGGGTTTTTTTTTGATTATTTTTTGAGGTGACTGGAGGCCTTAGTAGTGAGATACGATCGATTGGAAAGCTGCAGCCCTGTATAGGTTTTTGATGGCACGAATCATACGATTCTCAAAACACATATCATACCGGTACTCCAGTCACATGTCGAGCACTATGGATGCTTCTTCACTCCCCCAACTGTATATGATACCATAGACAACTGTTGGAACCTGCCACCTCAAACGCCCCCATAACTCCGGACAAATGCCTTTTTGTCCACCAATACTAATACAGAACAGAGCTTTTGGCACCTGGGGTTTAACAAAATAGATAAAAAGTGGAGCGGCAGGGGTGAGAGCGGGATCGTGAATAATCTTCCGAGTTCCCAACAACTCTGGAACCAAACGGGACTCTAATAAACCCTAGCGAATCAAGTATGATAAACGAAAAGAAAATGCGGGAAATGACAGGAGCCTGGTGGGGCCATAGAGAAAGCGGATGAAAGCATCACCATTCCAAACAATCCACAGCTATCTCGGAAACTAAGCCCTGAACCTGGCAGTTCCCTATGTAGAATGACATATGATAGGATGACATAACAACAAACCAAGGCGATGCCCCGGTGTCGGATACCTGATAGCGGTAGGGATGAGGAACGCACAACATTGACACCTTATGCTAAATGGAATGGGATGTGAAAGTAACACTCCATGACTGTCTGCTCTATGGATGATCCAACAGGATTTGCGGCAGACCCGGGGGAAATCCCTCCAGAGAACTTGAGCCAAGTTTCTCCTCCGGACACGCTTGATTTTCTAAGGCTCGGTCCACGGTCCTGAGCTCCGGGATTACTATGCTTGGGATAGGGAATAAGGATTTGAATTTCAGAAGGCCGAGCTTGCTGGTACGAAGGTTAGTAGTGGGTCACCATTTTTAAACTTGCCTGTGCCGGATCCATGATATACATTCTTTGATATTCTCAATGTTCTTGAAGCAAGCGTATGGCAAGGTAGAATGAAGATGGGTAATATTTAAACGGAATAAGGTGTTAGGGCTATGCACCATCACATCCGTATTATTATTTTGGGGGGAAGGGTTTTCCTTTGGCAATGAGCCCAGAAACCAGCTTTGGGCACTTGCCTATCATAGGTGGATGAATTCAGATTAGGGTAAGAGGATATCGGAGCCCTATCACAAGGAAGGTAAAGATCATATGATATCACTCGAGAGGAGAGAGAACCTGAATGGTAAGTCTGCTT